CAAGCCATCTCCTACACAAACATTGACGAAGAAACTGGTTTCAGTGTCAGTTATGGTCCATACGAGTGATTATTCTTAACTGACATTAAAAATGTTCCTTTTTTGTATTTCCATCCAAGCGGTCCGTAAGTACGTGACAGCCTATCTATGCATTTGAGTGAGAATAACACTGATTGATTTGGGTGTATTTTTAGGATGAGAGAGGAGGGTTTTTTGGGGGGTTTTTTTGGTTTTTTTTTTTTTTGATGGAAATATTTCATATTGTGAAATGATGAAACATAGTAGAAAACATTGAGTCAAAGATATAAATACAAAATAAGCCATAAATCTACTTATTCTAAAATAGCTTTTTAGGTTCTTTGACACATGGGAAGTAAGAAACTAATGACAACCATTATTATATGGTAAAGTGTTATATAGTGAAGCAAAGATGTCCCATGTACTCCAGCTTTTTGATATTACCTACAGTTTTTTTCTATGTCCAAATGTAATAGATGAACTCCCATTTTAAGTATTGTGAGAGGCCTATTGCCTTACTCGGTATTTCTATTAATTCTTGGTTAGGGTGGGATGATTTCCAGCCTGCTCTAAATTACTACTCTTGTATATTTCTCAATTCCTATTTGTAATTTTCCTTAGGTTCTGTCCTTTTCCTACTCTGCTTCTTTCCTTTTTCTTTCTTTCTCTTTCTTTCTTCTTTCTTTCTTTCTTTCTTTCTTTCTTTCTTTCTTTCTTTCTTTCTTTCTCTTCTTTCTTAAGTATAGGACTCAGCCTTGGGTTTTTAGTTTCCCCAAGCTATACTACAACAAGGGTATTTATGTAAGTAGCATAGGTTTCATGGTTAATACAGGAGGATTAAACACAGAAAGAATTAAAAAAGCAAATTAAATCAGGACAGTAGTTCCTAAAAGTCCTCTCGCCATGTTGGCTACTAGAAATTTCTCATTAGCCATCTTTCTTCTCTGTTGTCATTTTTCTGAATTCCTTTTCTTCCCTCCCTCTGTTGGATGGTCCTGTCATCTCTAGTAATTCGAGTAACTGGCCACCATATCTCTATCATCTCTTGCCTATCAATGGAAAATGTGCACATTGTTTTCTAAACATTTTGCCCCACATTAACTGATCCAAGAAAATGCAAAAATCTTCTAGTAAGTAAAACAAACAAAAAGTAGTAGACATCTTGCATTTATTTCTCCCATATATTGGGATGTTGAGCAATTGGTGGAGCACATCACAGGCTGACTTGCTGGCTTGGTATCCAGTTGATAATATATATGGTTGTTCCGGCCATTGAGAGCAGTGCCATTCTCATTGATTGGTGTCTGTGCCCAGCACTTAAGATTTTGAATATCATCTCAAGCTAAATCTACTTTCCTATTTGAAATACAGGTACATGCTAATGTAATTTCATTTTTAGCGTTTCGTTGTTATATATATTTTTTCAGTTGACCCATTTTAGATTGCTTTTCTTTCATGCTTTTAACTAAAGATTGATAAAACTTATGTTTCTTAAAGAAGTAATAAACATACATGAAGAAAATGTCTAGTAAAACATATCGTTCGCTCTTTACTTTTTTTCCTAATCCCCCTTTCTCAGAATCTAGTTGCAAATTATGTGATTTTCCCAGTGGCAAACAGATCAGAATTTAGCATTTAAAAACATTTTACATTTAAATTCTAAAAAATATTTTGCTATTTCTGTGTTTTTACTTTCTGGGATATTTGGTAAGTTTGAAAAAAAAATATCAAAGCTGATCTGAGTCATTACCGCTATGAACGCTAAAAAACTAAAATTTCAGTGTACATAATATATTCCGGCATACTATTTGTTTAGATTCATCTTGTAGCTGATTTTCTCTGGTTTAAGTATAAACTTGCAAAAGTGAGCACAGCAATGCCTTAATCATATGTATCATACTAGTCTGACTTCTAGGATGTTTACTTCAAGAGTATTGCTTGGCTCGGTGTTTATAGCCTCAAAAAATTTGAATCTCATTTCTAGAAGTCAGTCTATAACTTGAAATAAGATGACAATGTTTTCTCAAAACAAACAAACAAACAAACAACCCCAACAGAAAACACCATTTCCCTTAGATTTACTTATAACCTCCGAGAAGCAAGGACTTTGCTTGTTTGTTTGTTTTAAAAATCTTGGGAATGTGGGGATAGGATGAGTTCAGTTCTACATAAATTTAACAGGTCCGAAGACGTAAGTCCAAATAGATGGTTTTGCCTTAGCTGGTGAGGATGCCGGGGCTGCTACCTTTGTTGGTGCTGACATCACTGAAGCAGTAGAAAGGCCACTGCTTTCCTTTTTAAAGTTCCAAATTCACCCTTTAGAGTAGGTTAACACTTTGCAAATGTCAGATTTACAGTTTCTGGTGAACAGCGAAGAAAGTCCAAGAGCCTGTAAGAAATTAGAGCTGAATGGTGAGCACAGCACCAGGTGTAGAGTCACTGAATCCCTGGGTCGTACACCTGAAACTAATGGAACCGTGTATCAACTCTACTTCCATGAGGGGAGGGGGTCAGAAATTAGAGCTGTAAATCAAATTTCTTTACTATATCTTAGCTCTTAAGATACATCATATTTCAAAGATTCTAACATTTACATTTCTTTTTACATTTTCACATTTCTGGAAACAGGTTGTGTCTTGTGGTTCTGATGTCCTTGTCATTGCTAGTCCACGTGCATAAAAACTTACAGTATGAATATCAGCAACTTGGAATAAAATTGCAGAGACGATACTGTAGGACCAGCACTCTTGATAGCATAGATGATAGTATTGTGTGGGAAACATGGTCATCCATGACTCTGAGTTGAACATGTTTGGAAATACTGGATTTGGGATGGGAGTAAGCTTTAGGAATACCCTAACCGATTTGTTTTGCTTATACTTTATTGTTTTTCTAAGATTTTATTTATTTATTTGAGAGAGCTCGAGCACACATGCACGTGAACAGGGAGCAGGGGGAGGGGCAAGGGTAGGGAGAGGGACAAGCAGACTCCTGCCTGAGCCTGGAGCTCAATCTGGGGCTGGATCCCATGAGCCCCAGACCATGACCTGAGCCCAAACCAAGAGTCCTCCGGATGCTTAACTGACTGAGCCACCCAGGCGCCCCTCTTACAGTTTCATTTTTATATAGATTCAAGCAGGGCATAAGATAAAAACCTATACCTCAGTAGGTATTATAAAGCTCTTTCAGTAAGTATGTAGTGAAAGTTCTGAGCTACAAAAAACACGTGTTATAACTTGTGTAGCTTTGTTTTTATTCCTTTCTTTGTGGTACATACAATAATGTCATCCTTGCAATCATTATGGTATTATGATTTTGAGGTGAACACAGATCATGAGATTTTAGAATTTTTGATTTGCTAATTTTAAAGAAGTTTTTACTGTTGCTATGTCTTTTAAAGTGGTGAAATGAGTCATATATCAAAGGAGGCATTGAAGCATTTCTTTGAAAAATAAAATTTTACAGGACTTAATCCATCCTTTCATTTTCGTAATTAACATTCTTTTGGAGAACTACTATCAAATACGTTCTTTAAAAGTGAACTTCAAAGTCTAACTTTGGGCCATAAGTAAACTACTCTGCCTTGTTTATTATAGACAATCATCGTTGAGGGTTTTGAAGTTTAGTTTGCAAGAGGATTTAGCACTCTGCAAGTTTATATTTAAGATTGCAATATTGACTGATTGTCTTTCTGAGAATGTAATAGACATAATAAATTGCTTGCAACACTTAATATTTTCAGAGTGTTTGCCATTACCGTACTTGATGATTATTATTAAAAAAAAAAATCTCTCTGATCCCCCCGTTCTGAAAAGGAAACCAAAATTACTTCTCAATCCCTTCACTGTCTACATATAATCTCTGATTTAATATCACTAACCCAATACAGCAACACCTCATTTTCCCAGCATTGCTCAAGAAAAGTTTGTTCCATGCCAGTACACTTCCCAGATATCCGAAGAATATGCATTTAAATGACAAGCCTATTTTTTTTTTACTATTTCTGATAGAAATATTTCTACAACACACTGTTATTCTTATATAGAGAATACTGAAAAAAATCTCTAAAATTTTGTGCTTCGTGGCAATCTCAAGAGACTGCTTTATTCGTTGATGGGTCTTCAGCACACAGTAAAGAATGGAATAAGAGGAAGCAGTTAGTGGACGTGGACTACACTCAAAACTCAATGAACTTCTTTTTCGTAGAACACGGGGACTCATTTTTGCGAATATCAGTCACAGCAGATGGCGTGCTCCACCTGGCCCAGCAGGCTATGTGCACAACCTCGGCGCCCCCCCACCCCCACACCCCCACCTCCCGGGTTCCGTCACGGTGTAGGCGCAGGACTGCATATACTTTTCTCCAGAGGGCCGGGTCCATAATCTCAATGCGCTATTTGAGAGTTCCAACGTATAATGAGTAATAATCGAATTAAGCATCACCTCACTCTAAGTTAGGAAACACGACTTTCTTCTTTCTAGTCATGGCACAACTATTCACTTAGCCATCCAATTTTGAAATCTTGGCATAGTCTCTGATTTTTTCTGTTTCCATCTTCCAGCTAGGTCAGTTGTACTGCTGCTTTTCTCTTTATGTCTCTACTATTAACACCCTTTTGACTTTTACTTTGTATTTCTTACCCTATTACTGCTTTTACCTAGAATATTCTAGTTTGTCATATGCTTGATCTTTAGGCCTCCAGTCTCTTCAATTTCCAGTGTATTAGGTACAGAACTGACTGATCTTTATCAATGAGAGGTGTTTCCCTGTTCAAAAATCTCCAGTGGTTCCCTATTTTTGTTAAAAAAAAATTTTTTAACCAAATAATGAAAGACAATTACCAGCAGAGGCTGAGTTCTGTTGGGTCACATATGGTTAAAAGGATATATAATTGTTTTGACATTAAGCACGACAATCCCTTCTGATCAATCACCTGTATGGCAATCTGCTCTAACATCTCCTTGGTCTTTAGGATTGAATGTATCGAATACATCAATTTTCATTTCCAGGATAAATTATTGGAAAATCTCTACACACTCTTCTGAAACCGTTCAAGAGATTCGTTGATGTTTTGAAATTTATCTACAAATACTGAGGACATACCTGGACATTTTTTGAGCAACTCGATATATCACTGAATTTTTTTGAAGTCCTTGATACTTTAAAAAATATATATTTAAAAAATTTTACCCCACTTTATTGAGAGGGAATTGACATATAACATTGTGTAAGTTTAAGGTATACAGGGTGTTGATTTAATAAACTTGTGTATTACAAAATGATTATGACTAAGTCATAATCCTATGGCTAACTCCTCTGTCCTGTCACATAATTACCATTTCTTTTTTGTAGTGAGAACATTTAAGAGTTACTCTTTTACCAACTTTAAAGTGTATTATTAGCTATAATAATATAAATATAAATAAACATATATAATACAAAGTATTATTAGCTGTAATCACCATGTTATACATTAGAGCCCCAGAACTTGTTAATCTTAGTTTTTTTCAAAATTTTATTTTTTTATTTGAGAGAGACAGAGATAGCGAGAGAGAGCAAGAGCGAGGAGGGAGGGAGAAGCAGGCTCCCTGGCAGGCTCCCCACTGAGCAGGGAGCCCAATGCCGGGACCCCGGGATCATGACCTGAGCCAAAGGCAAATGCTTAACCCACTGAGCCACTCAGGTGCCCCTGAACTTGCTAATCCTGTAACTGGAAGCTTATACCCTTTAATCAATTATCTTTGCATATCTCCCACTTCTAAGCTACTGATAACCACCATTTTGAATACTTCTCAGTGCGTATTCATTGTATTCATTCTTATACTTAGTTGTTTGTCACAAGTTTAACTGAGATGGTATTATGTGCCAATGTGCCCAGTGTCATAGATGTGATGGTACACAAACACAGGATTTTTATCTTTATCTAAACTATGGACTACTAGCTTTCTTCACCATTTGGTGTTGAAATTTACGTTTTCTTTGCATATTCTATTTGTAGAATTTGAAGATCATTTTCCTGGCTGGAGAAAAAGAAATTCTAATGTTTGTTAGCAAATTGCTCTCTTCCCCAAGCAGTACGGTTCTTTTCCTGCCTTGTCTTTTCTCATTGCCTAAAATATGATGGAAGAGTATTTTATATTGTCCTAAGTATTTTTCACAAGTCTCGGCTCATTTTGAACGTAGCACTTTTGACACTGATTTAAAACATACTATATATACGGCTGTGCATGTTTTTTAACTTTACAGTATCTGGTATTTTTCCATTTAATTAAATATATTTTGAAAACATAATATTTAATGTCTGTTTAATAGCCCATCTTATTTAACTATCCCATATTTTGGGCTATTTGGTTTGAGTCCAGGTTTTTTTTTTTGGTTGTTCTGCAACTTTAAATAATGCTTCTATGAACATCCTGGTACATAATTCTTTGCCTGTGCTTCTGATGATTTCCTTATGTTGTACTCTTGCCTCCAAATACTGTCCATGTCTTGGGCCCAGGGACTAAGCAGACTGGCTGTTTTTCCAATCTATGTCCAGTGAATATATTTTTTACTCAATGATCTTTAGAACTCTTTTGATGGCTGACCAGATGGAGTGTTGCCCAGTGTGCCGCAAGATCTTCCATAAACCCCTTTAACTTACCCCTTGCAGCAGGCTAGGACCCCTGTAAGGCCTGGAGAAGGAAGAGAGGGGCCTACACAGCTTCCCAGCTGCTGACGGTAGGACACATAAACTCTAGTCCCCTTTCCCGGGGCCGCGCCTTGTGAGTGCGTGCCTGCGCGAGAATGCGTGCGTGCGTGCGCGAGAATGCGTGCGTGCGCGAGAATGCGTGCGGGCGTGCGCGAGAATGCGTGCGTGCGTGCGCGTGTGCGTGAGTGCACGCCGCGGTGGGGAGAGCTGAACTATTGCTGCTTGCCATAGATTGAATTGTGTCTCCCTCCCACACCAATTCGTAGGTTAAAGTTACAGCCCCTGATGGGCTGTAATAAAAGTATTCCTAAAAAGTGGCATTAAACATTCTTAAAACCTTGCTTCTAATTAAGAGAGAACACGATACCTGCATTTCTGTGGCAAAAAAAGAGAAAAACGCCAAACTGCATTAATCTACTGTCAAAGTAGTACTACAACTCACTGTAATCCAAGTCCCAATTCAGATTATGTGGTTAGAGGCTGTCAAAATAGGCTTTTGCATCTCAGTTAGCAACTGATTAACTGTTCTCTGCAATGCTCTCAGCAAACCTTTCCCTCTTTTTCCTCCTTTTCTCCTCACAAGTCCTGCCAGATCCTATCAGAAGGCACAACTGTCCTGGTCCGGAATGGCGTTTCCTAACTCTAGTCCATCACCGCCAATACCAGAATCAAAGAGGGGCCGAGGGGTTGTTAAAAATATACGTGGCCCCCACCCCGGTCCTACTCCGTCTGAAGTCGCGGAGGCTGGGGGCGGGCGGAAAGTGCCTGGCTCTGTAGTTGAAAGCAACGCTGCAGGTGGAGGGGCTACATCGCGCCGCAGGCCTCAGCAGCACCTAGGCCTCAAGCTCCACCATTAGCAAGGAGCCCGGAGGCGGCGTCTGCATCCGCTTCTTCCTAGATTCTCCCGCCGGGCAGGAGGCTGGGGCAGAGAGAGCTTAATTCGCGGCCTCGCGGCCTCGCGGCCTCCCCTCCACCCCCTCCCGCTTCCCCCGCCTCCGCGGCTGAGCCCCGGGCCTACCGGGCGGCCTGGCCTCAGTTCACCCCGCCCTCCGGCCTGCGCGAGGACGACTTACAGAAGAACTCGGCCACGATTTCGGCGCTCCCGCGCAGGGTGATGCCTTGCTCCCGGGAGAGCTGCAGCGCCATGGCCAGTCCTACAGACGAAGGAGTGCGCTTCCCCCCGGCAGAGAGCGACAGCAGAGACGCCCACAGCAGTTCCCCGCCACTCGTTTCAAAAGTAACGGCGCAGCACGCCCTCGGGCCTCCGCGCAGGCGCGATGAGCCTCTAGGCCCCGCCCCGTGGGGCGGGGCCTGCAGGTCCTCTGGGCGCTTTTCGGAGCTGGCCTGTCCGCAGGCGCAGGGGGTAGGCGTGGTCGCCCAGTTCTGGGTGGTCAAGCTCCGCAGGGTCCCGGCTGGGCGTGTGTAGTTGTGGTCTACTAGACCGGCCTGAGGGAAGAAGACGCCAAAACCTGGTTTGGGTTTTTTTTTAAAGATTTTATTTATTGGGGCGCCTGGGTGGCTCAGTCGTTGGGCGTCTGCCTTCAGCTCAGGTCGTGGTCCCAGGGTCTTGGGATCGAGCCCCGCATCGGGCTCCCTGCTCCGCGGGGGGCCTGCTTCTCCCTGTCCCACTCCCCCTGCTTGTGTTTCCTCTCTCATTGTCTCTCTCTGTCAAATAAATGGATAAAAATCTTTAAAAAAAAAAAAGGAATTTATTTATTTGAGAGAGAGAGAGAATGAGAGAGAGCACATGAGAGGGGGGAGGGTCAGTTTCAGATATTTTAAATACTTAAATATTTAGGTGGAATTACTTTAAAAGAAAATTTTGTTGCACACCATATTCAAAATGCTAAAAATTGTACACCTTGAGGTGTTGAAAACATGATCTTATGAAAATATCAGCCATTTTCACAGATCTGAAAAAAAGCTACTGAATTGTACTATATGCCTACTTAAGTTTTTGTTAGCTAAGCAAATAGATTTATTTTGAGATATGCAACTATGAATAATTGCCACTGCATTAATTCTACCACATTGTTAGGAATCATGACCTTGCATTGCAGACTCTAAAATGGATCTGAATTTGAAACCCTGAGAACACTAGCGATAGAAGGGCAATGGGAAACATCATTATAAGGGCTCCTACAGCTTCTTTTAGGAGGAAAGAATCTGATACACATGAGTACTTTCAGGGCACTAAAAAAGCAGCTTAAAGCTGACCATATGAACCCTGTTTATAAACAATACAAAAAGAAAAGGTCATTCCTGCATCAGAATTACCATCATAAAAAATATTATAAATAATATTAAAGTCACACTGAGTCAATAACCACAGGGTTTTATTATCTTCAACACTACTGACAGCTTAATAAAATATGCTTAACAAATCATTTGTTTGAAAATTGAAAACTATATTCCTATGTAATTACAGAAACAGTGTTTTTAAAAAGTGGATGGCAATATTTATTTTATATCCATCATCTGATTTTAATACAAATATCTTGCCAATAAAAATGTTACAGCTTTTAGAGATAAGAAAAAAATATGAAAGAAAGAAAAGAGAAAAGAAAAAAGTCTCAAACACAGGACCCAGAATGTCAACTAATTCAGCACAGTTTTGCAGTGTCAAGTAAAAAGTCTCTCATAGAAAGTTACATGGAAGTGTAAAACTTCGGTTTCTGGACTTTGATCCAAGCGGTCATAAAAACTGGTCCTCATTAGTAACTCCTATTTCCATTATATGTCAAATATTCTCAAGCTTTTGCCTAGTACAAAACAAAGCAATAAGAAGTCAATCACGTTACCCCTACAATACTAAATGATCTAAAACATAACCCACAATGGCAGAAATGATTAGTAACTAATGAAAGGTAACATTATTTTAATATGCTGTCAAGAATAACAACAGCTGTTAAAGTGGCATTAGCACCCGGAAGCCTTCATTTGCAAAAGCATGAAGATTAGAGCCCTTAATTAACACAGTAGTATCTCAGGCGGGTAGAACTGCAAAGTTGTCTAGAATGGTGAGGGTGGGAGTTTCCGTATGTTGTAGTTTACTAGTCTCCAGTTAATTTTTATGCCAATAGATTATGTTATGAATTGTTCAACTGACACTCAAATTCACATCAACAGGCTGTGATTACTAAAAAGCATCTATGCTCCAAGCTTGTAGCTTTGAACTAGGTGCTTAGCTCTGTATTTGAAGATAGTTATAGGAAACAATGTAATATAGCAGCCGAACTGCTTTCAAGGTCAACCAAAATTCACAGGTATTTAAATGAGAATTTAGGGATGCCAGAAACCTTCATTCTGTTCAGTGACTACTACTGAGTACAGATCATTCAGTTTGGGAATAGGATAAAAAAGCATGCATGAATGTCATGCATGGAAGTAGTTCCATCAACATGCCTGTTTACCGGCACAGATGGCCAATCTAAGTGAATCCAAATTTATTTTAAATTTAAAAACATGTTAAATGTTTCTACAGAACTGTCTCATGGGGTCCTGAATCACACACAGTACTCATTTTACACTTACAGAGTGTAACAAAAAGGATAAAAGCAGAGTAACAGCTTCTAGTTAAAAGAAAAAAAAAAAAATCCTAGCTATAAAGTTAAAATGTCTGCAATAAGTTTTTACCACAACCATATGAATCACACTGGGTTTAGAAGTTTGGAATTTTTATAATCAACTACTGTCTAATCTCTCAATCTTAAATCTCTAGTTAATGCCACCAAATATAAGCCCAAACAGGAACCTCTGACTACACACAAGCTCTTAGGTCGTATTCTTTAAACTGACAACTTTCAGCACTTTATACTTAAGGAGGGCCTGTACTACTCTTAAATATTTTACACTTTCGTTTTCCACGTTTTACTCAACATAAACTCTTAGAAATATATAAGAATATATATACACATACATGTCATAGAAAGTGGTCAGCCTATTGTCAACATCAACTATAATATAAAAACCGTAACTAAAAAAGTCTTTATACAGAGTTTCAGATGATCTGAATTTTACACAGAAAAGTGTAACTTTGAGAAATGAGGACTGTAATCCTGTGCTACTTGGGAGAAAAAGTAATGTGAAAAGAAAATTAAATGTAACCCCTTCCATTTAACTTCCAATAAAATGTTACTTTCAAAGATTTGGCAGGCTCTGAGTGAAGTGTTCTTATGTATGACTACTTAAAAAGATCACCAAACTATCCTAAGTTTCTGTCTTTAAAGGGAGAGAAGGAAAAAAAGAAGAGGACACTGATGTTGACTTGTAAGACAAATCACTTTTTTCTTTCAACTACTAATAATCTGCCTACAGAACATCTCCAAAGAACAGCCTGACACACTGAAAAAAATCAGCCCAGCTCTCCTGCCCGCTCCCCATTCAATGGGGGCAGAAAAGTGGAAGTGCGCAAGGGTGAAAGGAAACTAGGGACAGATGGCCTCGGAGTAGCAGGTGACCTTTGAAAACTGGGGGCCCACAACAATCAATAGTTCCAGATCTAGATGGCCTTCGTGCCTCACCCCGAACTCGCAGGAAACTGTCCTTTGAAAAGAAACCACTTTTCTTTTCAGGGTTTATCCTCTGGTTGCTCCAGATTCAGATTTTGAAGGAAGACAGCCAAAGCGGGGAAAGAGGACTTTAAAAGGAGGGCGGAGTAATTAAACAGAAGAGATAAGATTTGCCCTAAGCTATCGCCTCGGTCCAAAACCCCCGAAAGGGATGAAATCGACACAAACTCGTTTAGGAGAAACTGCCTTAAAAAGAGCCCCTTCTAAAATCCCAAAGGAATACACCGTAAGAGCATAAAGGAAGACAAAAATATCAGACAGTCCATTTTCAATGAAGCATCCCTCTGCCCCCCCGCCCCCCGCTGGGCGCCCCCAAGGTAAAGTGGCAAGTGGGGGGAGGCTGAAGGGACTACCTTGTTTTGTCTCCAAAGGGCAACACAGCAAACATAGGAAGGTCGACGTGCAGACCACGCGGCCTCCGCAGACTCTGGACTCCGGGAGGCGCCGGGGGGCGACGACGTGCCCAGGGGAGGCGGTGACTCGACGCCTGCTCCCTTACCGACCCCGCCACCGGGCCGCCGCCCGCCGCAGCCCGCTCGCTCCGCGCTGCGCCGCCCCCTGGCGGGGAGCGCCCGGCAGAGCGGAGGCCGACCGCCGGCGGGGGGGAGCCCAGCGCCGGGCCTCGGCCGGCCGCTCCACCATCACCGCCTTGAGAGCGCTTTCCTGGCGGCCAAGGCAGCCCGCGCCAGCTGCCCGACGGCCGCTGCCTGGAGGCGGCGGCGGCGGCGGCGGCGGGTTCGGGACTCTTCTCCAAAGAGGCGCGTCCTGGAGGCAGTCGGAGTCCGCGTGCAGAAGCCTTTGCCCGCGCCAGCGGCTTCCCACCAACTCCTCAGGCTTCAGGGCATCCGCCCGCCTCCACTCTCCGCTCCGGCCCCTCCTTCCTCGGCTTCCACCTCAATTCCTCCCCAACTCTCCGGGAGCGTTTCCCACGCGCGCCCCAACTGCCCCCCGGGCAGCCACCTCCCAAAGGACAGGCACCCTCCGCCCCGCCCTCGGCAGCGGCCGCCCCGGCGCTTGGCTCTCGACCGGGAAGAGCTGGCCTCTGGGGTCGGCTGGGGCTGCGCGGGACCCGTCAGCGCCCCGCTGTCGGCTCCCGCCGCGCCTCCCCAGCGCCCTTTGTGTGCGCGCCGCGAACCCCTCTGCGGAGCCCTTCCAGCGGCGCCGCCTTGGGAGCAAGAGAGAGTGAAAGGAAGCGCCGGGCCAAGCAAGGGACTGGAAAGGGGCAAAAGGCGACAGCGCTTACTCTGGGAAGATTCCGGCATGTTGCTGCCTTTGGGCTCCTCGTGGTCTCGCCCCTACCCCGACTTCCCCGCCCCGCCAAGGGCCAGGGCGAGGGGGGACGGGGGAGGAGCGGAGCTGCTGGGACCGAGTTGGAAATGGTGCTTCCGGAGCCGCAGGGAAGGGGCTCAAAACTGTTTTGGTTTCGCTGAGGAGATTTAGGGGGACTGGGAGGCTAAAGAAGGGCTGGGGGAAGGCCCGTGAGCGCGGATGTATGTAAATAATCTTGCTCTCAGGGAATACCGGGGCAGCCGGGCTGTGTGTGTGTGGGGGGGGGGGGGGTCCGCATGTACATTTTTGCATTGAACTTTTTGAGCAAGTTGGATCGAATCCCACGCTTGGGCTTTTCGACTGTACTAGCCATAAAGTCGAGGTGTCTACACCCTAGCAGGACCAAAGACCTACTTCAAAAGCAAAGGGCCTGGGAACCGAGGTCGTTTAATGGTAAAGGAAGAGGAAAGTTCAGTAAGGGAGAGAGATGAGCCCCCAGGTCACTCTCAGCGCCCCGGGTGGGTCTTCCAGGGGCCCTCTTCTTACCTGGTGGCTTTCCTAACAAAGTAAGAGAAGGTAAAGTCCCAGTGATCATCCAGCCACGCTTCCACGGAATCCTGGTCCCGCTGCAGCTTCGACTCCCCGGAGCCGGGGCTGGCCCGCTCCATGATCCGCGCCCAGCGTCTGTGCAGCTGCTTTGTGCCCTTTTCCACCCCAGCTGGGGTCTCTCCCTCGGAGGAGCCGGCCTCTGCCCCGAGACCCTCCCCCTCCGCCTTGCGCCGGTCCGGCTGGCTTTTGGCGAAGCTGCTCCGGCGCCCGGCCAGCCTCTTGCCACGCCCCACCTCTCCTGGTGATCACCGCTCCCAGGTGCGGCGGCTGGGGCAGGCGCAGCAGCCGCGCGGCCTCCCCGGGGTCGGGCGGAGGCGGGGTCTCGCCGGCCGTCGGGGCCCCAGATTCCAAGGCGGCGGCGGAGGCAACTGGCGAGCTCGCCGGCAGCTACGTGGCCGCCGCTGGAAGGAGGCCGCTCGGCCGCTGGGGTGCGCTGTGGGCTGAGCGGGTTCCGGGGAGCGCGCAGAGGTGACTGGGGGTGTGTTCGCAGAGTGCCCCGCAGTAGGAAAGGGAGAGTCGCGATGTGTGCGCCCATCCCAAGTCCTGAAAGCTGGAGTCAGGGGAACCTTCCACCAAAAGTAAGAGGTGCGGCTACCCTGGCGACTTTTCTCAGGTCTGAGTGAACAGTGACCGACCGGCCTCGCTTTCCTCCCCAGGGCTGGGGTCTGGAAGGCGCAGGGATCGACCTTCCTCCGAGCCCAGGCAGCCCGGGGGTGTGTGCCACGGATTTGCGGCTCCTGGTGGGTAACTTCCAACAAAGGCATTTCCGTAATTACTATGTTGTTAATAACCACAAATAATTATAAATTAGGCGTCTTTGCATCAAACATTCCCTTTTTATGACTGCAACAAGATTTTCTGGGAAAAGGAAAAGGTAAAACTGAAATAATCATCATGGTTTGTGTATGAAGTCAGAAGACAAGGGAACCTCTGTACAATTAGGTTAGAGAGCATAGACGCTACCCGCGGATAGTACAGAGCAGACTGGTTAGCCCAAGTTTTATTAGTCATTTATATTTAAATGGAATTAACACACACCCCACAAAAAAGTATCCGTTTCAAAGGGCTCAGCTTTCCTACTCTATTTTGTCCTATCCCAATCATGCTTTCCAAAAAGGAATGGGTGTCTTCCTTTTGCTTTGTTCTCATCTCCATCTCCTTGTCCCGCAATTTGCAGTTTTAATAACGGTATTTTGCAATGACCTAATTTGGGGGCAGAATGAAATACGGAGTTGTATGTTTCACAACGTGTGAACGACACCATTAGCAGTGATATACCCATAGTGATTTAGCTGACATACTTTTAACAAAGTCCTTTCAAACTATTCTTGGCAAGAATGTTAGACATTACTCATAGAATGAGTATTACTACATAGAAATGCATAATTAAATTGATAATATAAGAACTTTAAAAAATGTCTTCCAACCCGCCAATGCAATGGTTTATCCTTCCTGCATTAAATAATTGTCCTTCTATAATTATAGTTTTTCTGAAACTTCACTGATGTATGCAAGTAACCACAAACCAACAAAAAGTAAGCAAAGCAGTAGAATGTGAAATAATGTGCAATAAATTATATCAGATTTTAAAATGCGAGTTCTGTGATCCTGATGTGTGATTACAGTGCTCGTGAACTCGAGACTTTGTCCTCAGTGCTCAGTTTTTCCCTGTGGAAATCCATGCCTTTCTCCTAACAGAGGGTCAGTTATAATTTAAAACTATACTTTCCTACAAAAAATGAAGTGAATTTTTGGCTTGAATTGTTTGCTTCAGCTGGCTGCCTTGATTAAATAAACAAGCACTATCTAACTGTCCATTTTTCTCTTAACCTGAAAGGGTTAAATTATCAGAAACCAGAGAGTTTTCTGAAAAGTTACTGCAAGAAAAACAATCCGTGGATTCTGCCATTAGCGAGTCTGAATTCTGTGTGGTATACATGGCAGATTGGGGGTTCTTGTGAAGGCTGGTTACTTGAAGTGAGCATATCACAGTGGTTTGGGGGATGAGTTATTTCAAACTGTTCTAGTCTCCAGAGATCTCAGATAAAATTTGTAACAAATCTCTGTAACTTTAAAGTTCTTAAAGGTGACCTCACCCTGACCTCTTGTTTCCCAGCTCCATTTTATTTTTTATCCCTATCTGATAGATTTTTTAATGTTTTAACTTACTGGTATGGATTGCCCTAAGCATCCCCAATCTTGTTTTAGAATGAGTTGAAGATTGAGTAAATAATAAACATTATCAGGAAATAACTTTAAAAATGCTGTTAATGCTATTTACAACAAACAAATGCACAATGGAGGCCTAACAGAAAGGCCTCCAATTCCCATCGTAGTAGAATAAAACCCAAACTCTCTAATGTGGCTTACAAAGTTCCGCATGATTTGACTTCTACCTACCTCTACTGTTGAGGTTTTGATCATACAACTAGAAAAAAATAAATCAATGATGATCAAATTCTCAAAAAAAGGAATGTAAATTACAGGAGTCATGAAATCTTTCCTGACCTGCTTTTTTTTTTTTTAAATTTTTTTATTCTTATGTTAATCCCCATACATTACATCATTAGTTTTAGACGTAGTGTTCCATGATTCATCGTTTGTTGCATAACACCCAGTGCTCCATGCAGAATGTGCCCTCCTCAATACCCATCACCAGGCTAACCCATCCTCCCACCCCTCTCCCCTCTAGAACCCTCAGTTTGTTTTTCAGAGTCCATCGTCTGGTTCGTCTACCCCTCCGATTTCCCCCCCTTCATTCTTCCCCTCCTGCTACCTTCTTCTTCTTCCTTTTTTTTTTTTTTCTTAACATATATTGCATTATTTGTTTCAGAGGTACAGATCTGAGATTCAACAGTCTTGCACAATTCACAGCGCTTACCAGAGCACATACCCTCCCCAGTGTCTATTACCCAGTCACCCCATCCCTCCCACCCCACCCCCCACTCCAGCAACCCTCAGTTTGTGTCCTGCGATTAAGAATTCCTCATATCAGTGACTGACCTGCTTTTTTTTTCATTCAAATCCCATACAGTATATTCTGTCCCCTTTGCAACCTTCCAGTGTATTCCAGGCTTGAGAAAATTAATATATTTGCACTTATAATGGGATCCAGTTTCCTCACTATTGAAGGGGGAAGACTAGAAGGTACATTGTGGTGTTGAAATGGAATTGGAGGTTAAAAATTAAATATGTGGGTTTGTGTGTGGGTGTGAGTTGTATCACGGGGAGAAATCCCACATGATGAAGAAATGCAGGCAGTTTCTAAGTGCTGTGGGTACCCTCCAGCTGACAGCCTACAAGGAGTTCCTGTCAGCAAGAGAATGGATCCCTCAGTCTTACAAATACAAGGAACCAAATTCTGCTAACAACCTGTGTGAGTGCAGAAGTCGATATTTCCCCATTCGAGCCCCAGATGTGACCACAATCCCAGCCAATATATAGACTTGCAGCTTTGTAAGATGCTAAGACATTTTCATAATTGACAACTTAATAATGATGAGTCTTATAATCCATGAACATAGTGGATTTATCCATCTATTCTAGTCTTTTAAAATTTCTCCCAGTAATGTAGTTTTTAGTATATTTGTCTTACACATATTTTGTTGGATATATCTCTGTATCTACTTCAGCCCTGTCACTGAGAAGTACTAGAAGCTATGACATTCCAGTAGCAATGAGTACAGTTAGTACCCAGATTTTGGTGTCTAAAAACCATTCTTCACTTTAAAAGGAATCAGAAGTCTGTGGAGAAAAAATTCCAGGTCTAGGACACAGAAAGTATTAGATAAGCCTGGAAAATCTTGTTTTGCTAGAAAATTAGAAAGGCTTGAAAAGATGGCAATATATCAGAAGGACAGAGGATATATCTGCAGGGAGCTTCCAATGGACAAATCTAGAGCAACTTAAATATCAAAATTGGGATACAGTAATAGTAACAGATTTTAACAGCTGACTAAAATAAGAAACTGTAATTTCACTCTGGTATAAATCAATCACTAGATAAGTAAGTAAATAGGAAAGAAGAGAATGTTCCTTACAGTAGAATGCTAACTAATGAATACAAAAGGAATTATGTAGTAAGAGGATCATGAATGGTTACTAAAACTAATCAGTGAGAGTTTGATGATGAATGGAGTATCTCCTCATAAGTTTTTTATTAGTCATCATGGGGAAATAGTATCTTTACAATGGAGAGAACTTATGGATACCTTTCTAACCAAGTGATCAATTTAATATCACTTATAGTGGGACAAACCAAGCATATAAACCTCTAAATAGGATATTCTGAGAAGGACACAACATCACTTCTATGTTATTCCTGAATCTAAATCTAATCCTGAGGATCGGATTGAGGGATTTCCAAACAAACACACCCAGTTTGAGGCACTTTGTACAAAATAGCTGGCCTGTATGCTTCCAAGACTTCAAGGTCAAGAAAGACAAAGAAAGACTGAGGACCTAGTTATTTACTACTTTGTAACAATATTACCACAATGTTAGTGGCTTGAAGCAACACACATTTGTCATCTCCCAGTTTTTGTGAATAAGGGGTCTAGGCTCCGCTAAACAGTGTCTTCTGCTCAGGGGAGGTCTCACAAGGCAACCGGGCGGGAAGCCAGAGCTGCCTCATCTGAGGGTCAGTGGGAGAAGGATCTGCTTCCAAGTGCACTCAGGCTGTTGGCAGAATCCAATTCTTTGTGGTGGTAGAACCGAGGGATTCTTTTTCTTGCTGAGTTCTGGCTGGAGACCCTAACAGGCTGTTGGCTGGGAGCCCCCCTTTGCCTCAAGAAGCCGCCTTCATTATCCCACCATGACTGCCTGCTTCCTTGGAGCTAGCAAGGGAGAGAGACCCCAGCGAGACGGGACTATAATCTTATGTACATAACCATGCAATCACATACACATAATTACATACATCCCATCACCTTTGCCATATTCTGTTTGTTGGGAACAAGTCAAGCTTCTGCCTTCACACAAGGGGAGGGGAATCACAACAGGGTGTGAACACCAGGAGAAGGATCCGTGGAGGCCACCTCAGGAATCCTTCTAGAATAACACTGTCATAAAGCATAGTGAGTGCGATGTAGCATGTGTCCAGTAGATATTTGTGGGGGCAATTTGAAAAAAAAAGTTTTCTTAAATTACTTCGGCAGTTCTTTTGTGTATTGTATGTAAATATGTTAGCAATTGATCTTTGAGGAAGGGTTATTTCTTTTCATGGTCTTTGGAAGTCTTATCACACTTAATAAAATCACCTTTTACTCTTAGCAGCCCTGGCCTCACGTGAAATAGTTTTCTGAGGACAGTGTTGGAATACACGCTTCAAGCTGTTGCACAGCAGGGATCCGCTTAATATCTTAAATGTGTGAATTTAAATTAGATCATAAT